GTATACTTTATATTATGTTATACAGACGTACATATTATAATGAGCCCGCTGTTTGACGCGCCTCCTCGCGTATGCACACGCCAATATTGTAGGTACAACGCGAGATTGTATATTTTATTTTTCGGCTGGCTAATGTGACGTGCACACCTATCCGAATTGCGGGGGCGTCGTGCGAATAAATTTATAATAAATTACGTGCATGCGATTTCGTTTCGTATTTCCATTATTGAACATTCGGCGCGTTCGGACCGATTGCCGAAAAAGTACCGACATAACCTTTTTCTTTCCATTATACCTAATTATTTATATTGCCGTGGGCAGGTAGGTAGGACGGTATAGGAATGATACAAACGTGCAGTATTTAATATATAATAAGGGTCGCACGTGCTTTGAACGCATGATACCCTTAATAGTATAATGTAATATAGGTATTAGGTATATGATAAACGGTGGTCTGGACTGAAATAAAATTGGGAAAATGCCCACTGGACCACTACATACTCGTTTCTAGATTTTGGGCCCATGTATGGCCTATATTCTCAATATTATAATATAATATGGCTATTGCGCTGGAGGCTAATGCTAATAATAATTGGAAACAAAAATTACAGTAAATACATCCCTAGGTAATTATGATTATATTAATTTATTTGTTGATTTAGGTAATTTAAATCTGTAAGAAGTATTATGACGATTACTTATTACTTTAAAACTCAATAACCCAATCGTAGCGTATTTCGTATAGATCATTTTTGTTTTCAATAGTTCTAGGTATGCGCCGCGGTATGCTTCAGAAGTCCAGTTCCAAAACTCATAAAAATTCAGTAAGGTAACCGCATATAGCAATATAATCATCAGTTTTTGTGATATTAAAAAAAAGGTTAGGTATATTGTACATCGATATATTTTATAATGACTAATAATATCTACCTACCTAGGTATATTTTTAGATGAAAAAAAAGTGAATCTATATACATATATTTTTAACTAATAATGATATAAATTTCATGTTTACAAGAGAATTATACATTTCTTGGACAGTTGACACACCCTTTGTATTATATTATATTGAATAACGAATATATTTTATAAAGGCGTGATTTATCTGTGCGATGCACTGAAAGAAGTACAGTACCTAATAATACTAATAAAAGTGAGTACTAACTACTAAGTAACTGACCTACGACCAGTTTTATTAAGAATACTTTTCAAATGTATTCAGAATACGTATTTAAATACTTGGTGTAATTTGTATTTAAAATACGTATTCAAATACTTTCTTTTAAAAGTATTCAAAATACTTACAAAAATACTTTATTTTAAAATCAATAAATGAATAATTAATAATCAATAATTCAATCAATTCAAAGACTAATCGACTATAATCACTACTACTCATGTCATGAAGTACTATTATTGAATATTTTCTTTAATCAAGCCAACCAAACCCTCTTATGTATCCCTCCATCTATTGTGCTTATTTTAAAAATATTTTATACAGATTTTAGTATTTTACATATTAAAATAAATATGATAAAAAAAAAAAATTCAACAACATTAATACCGGAATTAATACCGATATCTTATATTCAAATTATAAACTACTACCCAGTGGTGGTCAGTATTCTGGATACGCTACTGGTCTTGTATGCCATGGTATAATATGGGAGTGAGAAGCCGAAAGGGGTTTCAGTGTTCAGTCACTCTGTTATCTGCTTGTATTTTGGAGAAACCTTATTTATAAATTATCAGAAGTTAGAACGATTTTAAAATAATATTTTAAATACTATAAACAAAGTTTAAAATAGTACATTCCGAATTATTAGTAATTGGAATTTGGAGTAGACTATGAGAAGGAAAAAAAGTATTTAGTACTCTAGAATAAAAATACAAACAAAAAGTATTTTTTAAGTATTTAAAATACATTGGTTGAAAAGTATTTGAAATATAAAAAAAATATTTAAATACAAGTATTCGAATACTTAACAAGACTGCCTACGACCTACCTATATTAAATACTACTTACTATACCTACTGCAGACTAATAGACTACTGTAGAAGTGTAGGTAGGTACAACTATTCACTATTGAACTAGGTACCAGTTACCACAATATTATATAAACTGATACCGTCGGCACAGATCCCGTCAGCCCAGCTGCAGGTACAGTATACGTGGTTTATAACGTCCAAAACAATTATGTGCATAGATTAAGTATAAACCTAACCTAACCCATCTTGCATTACATCGAAAAAATGTACTCGCTGAGCCCCTAAGGTTTGGTCGCAACTAATATTTATGTAGGTACTAACTACTAAATACTTTATAATTTAATTCTATTATACCTACACCAGCGACCAGTGAATAATTGTGTACGGGTACGTTTTCTAAATTTTGCTTAGTTAAAAAAAAGTTAATCGAAAATTAAAACAATAACGAACATAAAGCATTGTAAAAAGTTAAAATTATATTTTTTAATCGTGTATAAATTATTAAATTTGTAATTATAGTACTGTCAGGTTTATTTACATTTTATAATAACCTGCTAGTGGATAAATCATATTTTGAATTGCCTCGAGTGTTGCAAAATCCTTTCAACTATCAAATTCATCGCGAATGAATAATTTAACAATGTAATAATAACTATTATAACAGTATATTATAATAACAACTATTATAATAGTATATAATAATACAACAGTATAGATAAATTATTGCCGAAATCTTAAGCATTGGACCTCGGACATCTACTTTTGGTGTATCATAATTTGAATTTGATTAATAGGCATATACCAAAAAAACACTAAACATAAAGCACAAACCCACAGCACGATAGGTAACGAATTATTAATGAGAAACTGGTTTACGTTGTCACGTAAATTGCGTATTTAGCAATCCCAATGTATTTTATTATATTACAAACGAGAAATGTGGTAAAAACGTATTATAGTCAGGTTTTAGTTTTCAATTTCTACGGGACTTTTTTATTTGGGACTTGAACTTTGAAGGTGAATACGTACTTACTGTAATTTATTAATTGTTTATGGGATTAGTAATCATAGGCGTGCGCAGGAATTTTTCACAGGGTGTGCAGAATTATTCTAGTAGGGGTTACTTGGCCTACTGCAATTCAGTAAGATAAATACTGTCTCAATATAATAATTAATTTTAATTTTAAAATAAAACGATTATTAGTTTACATATTATAGTCATATTACATATTATTATACAACTAGCATTTACAATTTACATTTATATTTTATAATGGTAATCTTCTTTGTATTGGTGTTAGTGTTTTAAACTCATCAATAATTTCAACAAAAATTCAACAATGTATTTTGTTTTTTTGAAGCCATATCAATTATAATATAATTTCAAATATTACGATTTAAGAATTAAGATTCAGACATTCAGTATATTAATCACAGCACAGAATAAAATTGACATGTCTATGATATTAATCGTTATTATTTTATTAATTGAAAACCAGATAACTGAAAAGTGATAAACACAAAAAATTGGAGGGAAAAACTATCAATCAAAAATTCTAGTACCAAAATTCGTAGTTAAATCTTTGACCACGGTCATGAACATAATACCAAATAATACTACAATCGATATTAGGTATTGCGTTATTATCCCGATGAACGGATTATTATTTGTGTAATTGACAATTGTGTATTATACATAATAATGTTATATATTATATATAATATGATACAGAATAAATTATACCAACTCTCAATAATCAGTTTTAAATAATTAAACAATGTTTCATCAACAATTTAAAGTAGGCACACATTTTTGCAGGGTGTGCCGCTGCACACCCTGCACACCCCGTGCGCACGCCTATGTTAGTACCTAATTCATATTTCATGCGACGTATCATCGGGCAGATATAATAGCAACGACTGTATTCCTACAAATTATTTCTATAGGTCTCGCACTCTCACCCATCATTGTATTTTAGATTTTTGAAACGAAGTTTTTTATGGCACGACGCGGGGCTAGTCGGGAAAAAACTTTCCTAATGAAATACTATTTTTTTTAAATATATTAAACAGTTATTTTAGCCAAAACATCCAATTTTCATTCCATCATACTAATCGACGTAGTAACGTGATAATATTTTTTAAAACCGATTTTAATTCGTTATTATGTCTACTTGGAATTGGTCATTCCATTTTTCCCAATTTCACCCCGCCAACCTCTAAAAATTTAGCTTGAATATTTTAAAATTTCGAAATTTCATTTATTTTTCACATTTGCTTTTATTTTGAATGGTTCCACCAAAATGTATTTATAATCTATACTATTTGTTGGAAAAGAAACTTCGTTTCTACCGGATGTCTCATGACAGCACTCACTTTTTTATTATTAGACAAAATGTCCGAAAACACAAAATATTCTATTATACATTCATACAAACATCGATCACCTTACGGTATACAATAATAATAATAATTATATTGACCGTTATTTTAAATAATAAGTAGGTATAAGGAATTGTAATAAAATATAAATATATCATATATTAATATTGTATAAAAATGTAATAACTGCATTTTTAAGTTAATATTAATTATAAATTACCTATATACCCACCTATTTTTTTTTTTTTTTTTTATTGAGTTAAGCCCGGAAACTATGGCCATTGGCTTGTTGTTAAAACTGTGGCGGAGGGTAATGTAGGTTTTGTTAAGCACGTGTGTTTTTGGGGTTTCTCAGAATTTCAATTGTTCACCCGTAGGTTTCTGCCATGCTGTCGGGGGATGGCGGCCTCTCTCTCTAGAAGTCTAGACAGATGTCTGCTCGGAGAGAAGTGCTGCCTGTGACTGGGATTCGATCTGGCGACGATTCGTGTAGCAACCGACGCCTTAGTCCGCTCGGCCACTCCTCCCCCCCCTTTTTTCCGTATTATCGAGGACCGGGGAGAGAACCGTGAATTGCATTAAAGCTCCCCGGCTTTATTGACAAAAACAACTAATTACATATATGGCTTATGCCCCTCGACCTGGCAGACTATATGCGTCCGGGGTGGCTTACAGTCAAAATAGAAAACACAAGACACAAATTGCGTATGGCTATGAGTGTTGTTGGTCCGGACTTCTCGACCCGGCTGGCTGGGCTCCAGGTCTCGAGTTCTCGTAATTTCTTGTGCTATACTGGCCTTTCGCCTTCCTGGTGCGTGTTCTTGGACTTCGGTGCGGCGGCCAGCTGTTTGACGGACCGAGGGTCGGTTGTCCGAGTCCAGTGATCGAGCGAAATATGTTGGCCAGCAAAATGTTTTTTTCTTCTGGGTCCGGAGGGAGGACGTCGAAGTCGGCCATACACAGAAGCTCCGGGAGGTAAGCTGCACTCGGCTAGTGACCACCATTCCGTCCCCCTATACCTACCTATATAGACATATAGTATATTATATTATTAACTATTATTTATATAATTATATATGGTAATGTAATACAATATTTTGTGTTTACAGAATTTTCGTCTGAAAATTAAAAATGTACTGGGACTTTATGTCCAACATTTTTCAAAACGGACTTTTTATCCCTGGACTTTTTGACCGAATACCATTTTAAAAGAGATAGTCTCAGATAGACACCTATGCTATTATTTTGAAAGTTAACTTCGTGTAGTATCCTGTGATCGATAAATTCAGTATCTTGTTCAAATAATATAGAATTGCAAAGGTATTTTATTAGATACGTTTTATGTGTTTCACACTGAGTCATAGTTTTTTAAAAATTATTTCAACATAACGATAAATATATTGTACGTTTTGCTGCAGTGTAAATCAAATAATAATATATACCTGTATCAAATAATAATTATTCGTTATTCAATATTATAATACATGTGTGTCGATATGAAAATGTTTACCATTTAAGTATGCATAATAATATTTACATTCACATATTATCTAAATATGTACCTACCTAATATGTATGTTGTTTTTATGTTTTAAAACTGATTGTTTAAACATTCATCACAAATCGCAGACCAAGGTGTGTTAATACTGTTAAGTTAGAAAAAAAAAGTTGATATTATTATAACTATATAAATATAAAAATTATAACACATTACTCATGAGTCATTATATGTACTCGTTAGTCATTGCCATATAGATATATATTGTAATAAACTATAAAAATATAGACATAATATAATTCGGACTATAATAATTTCAACCATAATTCCAGTTACCTATCTACCACTGGCGCCAGAGATAATATATATTTAAACATCATGCGGCCATGCAGATGAATCGTTTAGTTTTATTTACGATAACAACATTTACGTCTTATAGGATAAAATATTTTTCAGGTGTTCGGAATGACACACACAAGTTACAATATTGACCTACATTCTTATCAATCTGGATAATGAAATGTATAAGTTTAGATTATAAGTAATACACTAATATATTTAAATTGTTTATAAACAAAGCGTTTCAGATAATATGGAACGAAATAAACATATAATACTTGGACATAGTATGAAGATATAGTCTTATTTGGTGTTCGCTCTATAATTATACGTATTATAAACTCACCTAACATACACAATGTCCTTATAATAATATGTATTATTTTAAAATTACAGTTAAATCAGCCAAGTCCCTCGACAAACGATTATCTTGAGAATAAACTATAGGTATATAATATATATTATATAATAACATGTATTACGTTTTTTCGTTACTTTTCAAACACTAATGAATTCAGTCGATCACAAACCGAATTTGACACGACATGTGGTTATGTGAAATTAACTTTTTATTTTATTTTTTAAATTTAAATGGTGGAGCTTATTTATATGTGTTAAAATAATTTCCCCTGAGAGCTAATACATAATAATAGAGTATATGTATCTATAGACATTACTGCAGCATATGCAGGTAGGACGTAGGTAATCTAATATACTTTGATTACTGTATGTCTGTATAGTTTTATACCTTCAAGGTTTTTTTTTTTACATAATCGTTTTACATGCAAATATAAATTTATAACAGTGATATTATACTATTATAGGCATACTATATGGTATACCCGGAAATATCGAATTGAGTCTCATAAATATTTTTGATGTGTCCGAATTGTCAATCGAGTCGCTTAAATATTGTTGAGTTATTTCATCTTACTAATTTTTTTTCAACTAATCATTTGTTGTCACACATTCCATGAGTATGTTCATTGGAATTTGGTAAAATTAAATTTTTAGGGGATAATTAAAACATATATACCTACTTACAATGAGTTTTTACAACTCCACTAACTTCGTCTTTCAAAATTTAATGAAATCGAAACTTAAACCTATATTTTATAAAAAACCGTTTTTTTTTCTGTTTCATTTTCTTTTTCTTCATGATTCATCGTTCATAATATTATCTGTTGAAGAAGTATTCGACCCAACCATGGTAATTTTGTATAAGTTGCCAAGTAGATACCTGATACACCAAAAATAACGAATTATATTACCATCGAAAATTCGAAACGAATAACGATATATTTTATCACCAGCCACGCGACAAGTAGGTACTAAAAAAAATATACCGGACTCAACTCGTATGTTATCCGGCAATCGGTATACATAGTACATACTGTATTATACATTATACAGATCACATTTGATCAAAATCTACCTGTGGATTTAGGGTATTGCCTATATTTTACAAGTTTATAACCATCAATGGGAAAACGTTCATATTTAGGGATTTGACCTAACATAATATTATTATATATTATACGTACAGTCCTATATAATGTATACATACACACACACATGTATATAATACCCAGTCAAATAATGTAAGGATCAGTAAGCATTACGTAGTAGTACCTATTTAGCAAATCTCAATTTTTTAGCTCATTGTAACTAGTCAGCACTTCAGCAGAGGTTCTAAAGTTAATCTAGGTCGTGCTACCTATATCACATATTTGATATTATTATAATATATTATGCAGTAGCCAATAATAGAGTATTAGAGTATACATAATAGTGTATAATATGTACCAGTATGATGAATGCATAAAAAGATAATAAATGAGTACAGATTAGGCATGATTTTTTATTATTTTCATTATAAAGAAACGTCAAGTGTGCAAGTTAAATATTAATATTACATACTATAGAGAGGGATATCATGTTGTCCTATAGCAGTCTGCATCAGTTATGTGTACAGTATAGGTAATTACTTATTCGTGGCATACTTCTAGTATGTAGGGGTCGAGGGTTGTAGGATTTTTTTTAGGATAAAGAATATTTGTGCATATTATTATGTAATTATATCAATATTATTTGTCGGGATGGATCGTAAAACGAAATGATAGTATAATTGGGTGTGGTGAGCCGGTGAGGGATTATAGCCGTATATGAGTCAGTCTCTCATGGCTCTATCTAAGTGATGTTTACAATCATAAAAAATCATCCAAACTTAGGTCATGTCAATATGTCATTATGTCAGTTGTCAGTTGACACTACATACAACGATAATACAAACGTCTGCAAACGCTTTCCGAACATCGATCGATGCATTTCGGGGAGTTATTTAACAATATATTTTTTTGCATCGATTACTGCAGGCGCGTAACGAGAAGAGGGTTTTTATTTCTATTCAGTGGATTCTTAAGTAAAAAATCAAGTTTTTTATTGTTTATATCTCAAATTAATATTGCAAAATAAATTGTGTAGTTAAACACATTAAATTATAACCTATAATAATAATATATATTATATAAATGGGAAATTTGTTATTCAAACGTATGCAACAAAAGGCAATGTCCGTGTTTTTGTAGTTTAAATAAGATCAAAAAATACTTCACCGATTTTGACGAAAGTTTCAGGGATTGTTCTTAAATATATCAGAAAAGTTTATATAAGAGTAGTTTCAACCGAAAGTATGCCAAGTGCTATATCCAAAGTTCCACAGGTAGATTTCCCATCTACGTCGGATTAAGCGATATAGGTAAAGTGTACACATATATGCTGATTTTCCCGTGAACTTAGGTAGGTGCATTAAAACCGAGATAGACCGATATAACACAGCATATTTTTAGGCTTGTTCAGTTTTTCCCGGGTGAAGTCTGGTTACACAGCTAGTAAATTATAAATATACTTAAAACGAATAGTGTTCTAATTAATGTTACATTGACATGTCGGGAACAAATTATTTCGAAAACGTTTCGGTGGTTTTGGCTGGGGGGAGGTATCTATAATCCCTGCTGAAGTTTATATATCAACTGCTCGACGGGTCACAGTATACAATATTTAATAATATTACATATAATTATATACTGCGATATACATATTATTATTATCATAACAAACCGTCTGTTTAATATATAATATAATATTTATATGTATAGGTATTATATATATTATATAGACGAGACAACTCTGCCGTCGCCAACGTATAATAATGTTCTTTTTATTATATGTGCAGTATAATATTATATACAAATTACAAGGCGATCTTTTAACGAAAGATATCATATACGTTTCTTCAGACGAATTTCAATTTTTCTGTTTAGAATATTTTGCTTATAACTGCGTGTAATATAATATCTGTGTAATACCTATAATAATCACTGTACGAGTACACGCTGAGTTTTATCATCGGTTTTTTTTCTAATGGTTAGTGTGTACCATTATTTTTAGCATAAAATTCTGAAAATGTCTATGTGTATAATACTGTATAGGTAGGTAGGTACACTATATACTGAAAATGCCAAATATCCAACACGTTTTTGATATTTTCGCGTTCTTCATTTTCATAATTTACTTTTATTATCTCTGCCGGCGATACTATTTAAACGTATACAGGCTGATCCATTTCAGAGTCAATTTAAACTTAAGATGATTAGAGTGGAGTGGGCAGGGGTTCAGGGGATCGTGCAAGATGTAGTTGCTCGCTGTTCATCTAAGCTTGAAATTAAGTTTAAATACATGTAAGACAATAAGACATAAGTTATAAGATGTAATGAATTAGCAATCTGTTCAAAATTCGATTTTTAGACATCAAAATACTCCGAGAAATTTCCTGCTCAGGAACGTGAAATTAAAATGAATTATGTAGTCATTCAAAAAGTAAAAATTTAAAATACGATAACGATAATTCATAACAGTAAACAATTGTCATTTTTTTATGATTTCAAAATAATGTGACACTATTAAACTGAGCATTATAAGATTATTTTATTAATTTGTGTTTTTGACAAATATGAAATAGATACCAATAATTATTATACATTTGCC